AGGGGGGGGGGGGGGGGGGGGGGGGGGGGGGAGAGAATGATTGTTGTGTGTGTGTGTCTGTGTGCGTGTGTAGGGATGTCGGTTGAGGTTGAGTGTGCTGCCGACGGTGGTTGGCGGATCCTGCTGGACGTCGGCAAGAAACAGCTGGCCTTTCCGTTCGAGCTCGTCAAGTCAGCTAGCTGTCCAACACGTTCACACACACAGACATAGAGAAATGCATGGAGCTTTCACTGCTTGATGTGGTGCAGGTCGACGGACGCCCTGATGGCGTCGTGCGTGCCGGATGCATGGCGGTGGGCGGGCTGGATGAGCAGGTGTGACCGCACCCTGGCCGTCTGCCAGACACACCAAGACGTGTTCATGTAAGTGTGTGACGCCACACACCTAAACCCGACACACTTACGTTATCCATCGACCTTGTGTGTGTGGTCTGGCCTGTGCGCAGGGATCGGCTGGCTGAGTTGCGGGAGCTGATGCGTGGCGAAGGTTTGGACAGCGGCCGTGTGGACGAGCTGTGTCGGCATTATGTCAGCAAGTACACGAGGAGAAGGGCCGCCTGGGCCCGCCAGCTGCAGATGGACCGCTAGACAGACACACGAAAGAAGGGACAGACAGATGGGGTGGGCCATTGGCATTATATGTGGTCGATAAGTGAGTGAGTGACATGGGGAGGGTGGTGTTAGTATCTATTAGCTATTCATGGCTTTCTCTGGTGCTGGCCAGCCAGCTGTGTATAGCTTGCAAGGAGGAGAGAGAGGTGTGTCTTCATGTGTATAGTTGTGACCTGACGTGCCAGTGCGGTGCGGTCTGTCTTTTCTGTGTGACACAATTGATTGATTGCACCAGAATGAAAGCGTGGTCAGTCAACGGGCAGGTCAGTTGCTCAAGGAAGCGACACAGCAGAAACTGATGGTTCGACGCCTGCAAAAGTTCGACCAGACAGACAACTCACCTGACATTTAAGTAGTAGTGAAAGGAGGGGTCTCCACACACACGCAGCTGCTGCTCGGCCGATCAACGTTCGTCGACATGGAGAACAAGGAGGCGATGCACCACCAGCTAGCTGCTGATGCATCGCCTCCTTGTGCTCCATGGCGCCGCGCATCCACCGACCGACCAGCCAGACAGACACACCACACCGCCAGCCACCACACGAAATGGCCGCCAATTTGCGGCACACAGACGCACTCAGTCGCTCGCTAGCGATGCTGCATTCGGTCCATTCCATTGGAGTAGGTAGGCATCACATACGTCAGACATTGGATAATAACCTGGCTTCCTGGCAATTGCGGGAGGGAGGGACACGCTGACACGGACTGACTGACTGACTGCTGACGTGCAAGCGACCTATGTAGGATTACGTATGAGCACAGTCATCCCACCACACACACTACCATAGGAAGGAAGCAAGACAGAGAGGAAGGGACCAGCAGGCAGGCAGGCAGGCAGGCAGGCAGGAAGATGCACCGGGGGGGAGGATCCTAAGGACGGGTGAGGTGTCCTGCCGGCCATGGGTAGCTGGCACCCGACCAGCACACCCACATCCATCCATCCATCCATCCACCATCGGCCTCTCTCTCCATGAGACGTGCAGGCACACACACAGAGCACATCACTCATATCAGCAAAACGCATTGCATCACAGGAAGGCCTCACTGAGTTCACTCACTCACTCACCCAACCGACCGACCGAACGAACGAACGACTCACTCAACTATGCATTGACAGCAAACAACACAACCCACATGTGGCTGGAGGGACTGGATGGGGTGCCCCCATCCTCCCCCTCCCCCTCCCTCTCCCTCCCAACGATCGGATCACACGAATCAATCAAATCAGAGGTGGCTGAGCAGCGTGATGAGCTGTGCGGGCGTCTCGACCTCGGCGCACCCCTGCTCAACTTGCGCCGGGGTCAGATGGTGCCGCAGCGCCACCTCGTGAGCCCTTGTGCGCTCGTCGTCGCTCAGCTTGCACTCGAGGTAGTGCTCGACCATCCTGCAAAGCTCGGGGCCCTGAGGCCACAGACACACACCGACACAGAGAGAGGTGGGCGTGTGTGTGAGTGTGTGTGGGGTGGGGGGATCTACCTTGATGTATCCCAGGTGGAGTCTTTTGTTGATGCGTCCCGGCCGGATGAGGGCGGGATCGAGCTTCTCGGGGTGGTTGGTGGTCAGCACCACGATGCGCCCGGGAGAGTCAATCACCCCGTCCATCACATTCAACAGACCTGCAGATCCGCCGACCATCACATTCCATCCATTCAACAGACACACACAAAGAGGGAGGGCCATCTTGACGTTCGTTGTCTTCGGCGTGAAGGCATGGAGTCACCTCACCCACCAGCGAGATTGAGTTTGTCTGCCAGTGGGTCGGCGAAGCCGCCGCCCACCCCCACACCGCCAATCAGCGCCCCCAGCCCCATCCCCTCGCCAGAGGGGCCCTCCTTGCCCTCCTTCTTGGGGTCGCTCTTGCCGCCGATGCCAATCAGCTGCCCTAGGAGCTTGCCCATCAGAGCCGCCTCTTTCGCCTCATTCGTCGGGCCCGCGGAGTGGTCTTCATCGTCACTCTCCTCTCTGTCTGCAGCAGGAGCATCTGCAACTGCAGCTGCATCTGCCGCCGGTGCCAGTGGTGTGGGTGTGGGTGCTGGTGCTGGTGGGAGAGTGGGGGAGGGCATAGGTGGCTGCGAGACCTCACGGATGACACTCGTATGGTCCTGCACCACATCATCCACAGCACAAGAACCACCCCGTCCGTGAGCGTCGTCTCTGTGTGCCCCTCCCTGCTGTCTGTGATTCCAACCCACCTTCTCTTTGGAGGCCGCTTCCCACTCTGTCTTGTTGTCGCTCGAGCTCTCCGTTGGCGGCAGCACAGAGGGCGTGAGCTCATCGTCGCTGCCGTGGTTGCCGTCCATTCCCGTCAGCCGAATGTCGGTGACGAGCGCCCCCGCGCCGCGTGATGGTGAGGGTGGCTGGCGCGGTGGGGAGCGTGATGGTGAGGGTGACGATGACGACGAAGGCACCTTGCTGTTGAGCGAGATCTGACGCAGCTGGAGAAACACACACACACACAGAGAGAGAGAGAGAGCGGGGGGTTGCGGTGGGCATGGAGTGGGTGGTTCTGTGTGTGTGTTGTGAGCAGACGCACCATCTCGTGGTGGGCTTGCGGTTGTGTGACGGTGTCCAGGGGGTCGTCGGGGACGGTGGGAAGGGCCGGCATGGCTGCGTACACACAAACACATCTTGCGCATGAACACAGAGCCAACTGCATCACCTGTCTGTCTGTCTGTCTGTCTGTGCACCTTCCATCCACGCACGACCCATCCCATCAGCTCACTCTTTTTGGCGTTTTTGTACTTCTTTGCGCCTTTCCGGGCGTACACAACCTCCGAGGCGCAGTCGATGTCCTCCATCACAAAGATCACCTACACACACACGACAGACACGACAGACACGGACACACAGCAAAGCCAGACCGAACAGCTGATCTGCCGTCCCCACATCACTCCGCCCCCTCACTGACTGACCTCATGGAACTTGAAACGGTTTTCACGCCAGTCGTTCTGCACTGGGAAGACCAGGTCGAAGAAGAGGTCCATCAGCTGCTGGTTGGTCTTGATCTTCTCCAGGGAGATGGTGACCACGTGCCGGTGGGTGTACTGGGCAAGCGCCTTGATCACGCTGGTCTTGCCGGTCCCTGGGGGGCCGTCCAGCTGACACACACACACAGAGAGGGGTTGGAGGGGGTGCTGTTGCTGGTTGAGTCTAGTCTCACTCACCAGCAGCCCGAGCTTGTCAGGGAAACCCTTGATGCGGAATTTCCCCGTCTTGTTGTTGAAGTCATCGATCAGCTTGAGGAGCACCTCCTTCTCGGCGAAGAAAAGGCTGTCGAAGGTCTTAGCCTCAGACAAAAGGTACTTCTTGAAAGTGGGCAGCCCGGCAGTGCTGTTCTTCTGCAGCAGCCGAGCCGAGAGGAGAAGCAGAGAAGGGGGCGGACACGTGTGTCTGCGTATCACGACGTGCTTGGGGTGTGTGTGTTTGGCTTACCCGTTCGTCGATGGTGGGGTACTTGATGACTGAGAAGAAGTAACGCGACTTGTCCCGCTGCGCCTCTTTGAGCCGGCGCGCCTCGTACCAGTCATACGCCTCATTGATGAACTCGTCAATGATCTTGTCGCCAGCCTCCTTGGTGCTGACACGCCAACCACACCACCAACACAACACACAGCTCGACAAACTAACACGCACCATTTCTCTCGCCGGGCTGGCACTCCACTCACCACATGAGCTCATAGACGAAGGTCATCTCCTTGTTGGAGGCCCTCCGGCCGCCGCCCCGGTCGCGGCCGTCATCCTCCTCGCCCCCACCGTCCCCCTGGTCCTTCTCCTTGGTCATGTGTCGGAACTCGAGGCGCTTCTCGGAGTCCACCGTCACCCACCTGCCGTCGGCCGGGAGCCGGATGACGTCGAACTCTCGCTTGTCCGGCTGCTGGTTCTTCTTGACGCGCCAGTCGTCGTCCATTGCTGGGGAGAATTTGGGGTGGTTTGCAGGAGGGTCAAAGAGGTCAAATCCGAATGGATCTTTACCTTTGAAGTCATCGCCTTCATCCTCGGAATCGTACTCGTCATCTGCAGACCCAAGGCCGCAGCAATCAGAGGGCTCCATGCTCTCCCTCTCTCTCTCTCTCTCTGTGTGTGTGTGTGTGTGTGTGGTGCAAAGGCTACCGGGGTTTTTGCGCGTGGACAGGGCCACCTCTGCCGTGGTGAGCTTGAGCCCCTTTTGCTGAAGGTACAGCTGGATGGCCTCCTGCAGGCCCTTGTTGCGCTGGTGGTGGGTGGTCATCTTGCCGCCCGTGTTGCTGCAATTCGCGTAGACGCTGCTGTTCTCGTTGAACGTCACCCTGCATACGCCCCACACACAGCACGCCGTCCAACCAACCTTCTCCCGTCCCTCTCCCACCCTCCCACCCTCCCTCCCTGCCTCCGCGACGCTCACGCAATGGTGCGAACGTAGGTCGTCTTGCGGTCCCAGGTTTCCCTGAACCACCGCTCCAGCCAGCGCTTGATGGTGGCCATGGGGTCCATCGAGTGCAGCAGCTGCAGGACCACGGGGATGAGGGCGCAGATCAACACGTCAAGGATGAGGTTGTTGGTTCTCAGATTGTTGATCAACCTTCACACAGACAGACAGACCAGACAAACCAGACAGACCAGACAGAGATACCGGAGCCTCAGGGGTCTGTCTGTCTGTCTGGCGCATCGCACCCCATGTTCATCGACGTGTCGATGTTTTGCATCAGGTTCTGGAAGTTGGGCAACATTATGGCCGGCCAGCAAACGACGAACGAAACGAACAAGCCGACAGGACGGTCAGTCAACAGACAGCGAACGGCAGCAGGCGAAGAACCAAGAAGATCTCAAATCACACTCTCTCCGCCTCACAGTCACTCGCTAGGACAGCAGGCAACGAGCCATTAAGACGTGAAGACAGAGAGCAAAGGGAGGGAAGGGAGAAATGCGGATGGAGTTAGAGCACATCGCTCCGTCCAGCTTGACGGACACGCTCGCCATCCGGCGCATGATCTTGCCCCTTTCGCGCTTGCCACTGTCGTCAGCCTTCAGATCTGCCACCACAGCCTTCCGGCCGTCCCTCTTTCGCCACTCTCTGTGTGAGCCGCCCCGACACTTCGCCACGACCACGATGGCCAAAATCGCTGCCGGAGCAACGGTGCGACGAAAAGGGGGATGGAAGGACACGGCAGCAGGGAGATCCAGGCGCTAAACGACCTGCATGTGCTGCATGTGGTGCATGTGGGTGTGTGGTCGGTGTGATGTGAGCAGCTGCCTGATGTGAAGGTGAAGGTTGGGGATGAGGTCAAGAGCATCAAGGACGTCTTCACCGACAAGGGGGTGCTCTTCGCCGTCCCGGGTGGGTGAGCCAAAGACAAGGACAGACAGGCAGAGACAGGGCACAAAGGCATGCACTGTGGTGCACCGGTGGGTGGATGGCAAGTGTCTTGTGCGCCTGTGTGCAGGTGCCTTCACCCCCACATGCAGCGAGAAGCACCTGCCCGGTACGCGCCACACACCAGCCGCACAGGCAGACAGACAGACACATATTTCTGCGTGTGCATGTGTGTGTGGCATGTGGCCTGGTCAGGCTTCGTGAGCAAGGCGTCTGAGTTGGCCGCCAAGGGCGTGAAGACCATCGCGTGCATCGCCGTTAATGACCCGTTCGTCATGAAGGGTAGGTGCGTCGTCTCACCCCACCCACAAGCATCGCATCCATCCCACACGCGCGCGCGTATACTTCCACTTTTCCTGTGTGTGTTGTCTGTCTCACCGTGCTGTGGATGGTTGGTTGTGTGCTTGGATCAATCAGCCTGGAAGAAGGACGTCAATGTGCCCGACAGTGTGCTGATGATCAGCGACGGCAACGGAGACTTCACCAAGGTAGGTGCCTTGCGGTGCAGCAGAAGGACGACCTACTCACCCACCCCATACACCCGCCACATCTGAATGATGTGCGTGTGTGTGTGTCCTTGTTTCTTTCAAACCCCGTTCAGGCCATCGGTATGGTGCTGGACGCCTCGGCTAACTACCTCGGCTCGCGATCCAACCGGTAACTAACGTAACTACCCCTCCCCACCACACACACCCCACACCAAATCCACACACAAAGGTGCACCTCATCTCATCCCATGGCACCTCTCCCTCCCTCCTTTTGGTTTGTGGTGAATGTTCTGTGTGTGTCAGCTATGCGATGATCATCGAGCCTGGCGCCAAGGTGGCCTGGGTGGGCGAGGGCGAGGATTCCTTCGTCGACGTCGTACTCAGCAAACTCTAAACAAATTCTCATCACAGACAGACACACGTGGCTGGCGGCATTTGGTGACTAGGGAGGCGACAGGTGGACAGGTTTCCTTGGTCGGTCTTTGTATGTGTGTGTTTACGTGTGAATGTGTGTGCGTATCCATGTGTGTGTGGCACACGTAAGTGTGGCGATTTTCGCGGATTGTGGGTGGGTGGGGGGTGTGGTCACCTTTTTCGCAAAGAGAGAGCAGCCCAGCCCCTCTGCAGTCAGTCGACGAGCCAGGTGGGTGATGGTGGGACACACGGATGCATCGCTATCGAGCCATGAAGGCGTGTGTGCTCCTTGTTATGTGCTGCTGAGTGCATTGACGAATTGCTCGTACTGCCGGGAGACGTGGCACCACCCGACCTACCCCTGCGGGTGGGGTGGTAACGCGATTCCCTGCAGCACGAGCAATTCGTCAACGCAGCCACGGCGAAGACACACTCGTGTATTCAGTCATGCGTAGTCACACCTTTTGGTTGATTGATCAGGCAGTAGGCAGTGAACGTTGGAAGACGTAGGTCAGACGGTGGGTGTGTGGAGGGGCTGGGTGAGTAGGGCTTGCATCCACCACCTTTGACGAGTTGTTAGGTCGACCTGCTGACGTTTTTGCGCCTCCATGCCGTGCCGTGCGAACCAACGAACGAACGAACAACCATCGTATGCAAGTTTGTTGTGTCATGCACCGCACCCCAAGTCAAGAAGCGTTTTGAATCATCGCGTCCACCAGTTGTCAGTCAGTCAGTCCAGCAGAGCATAGAGGGTCGCCGGCTCCACATACCGGTGCACCGCAACATAGTCCCCCTCCTCCGCCCCATCTAGCGCGTGACGAACGCTCTCCAGCCACTCGCCACTCGCCACCACACACTCCCACCCCTCCACATGACACATGGGGCAGTCAGGCCCCTCCGCGGACCGGCACTTGATGCCGTTCTTCAAGGCCGACCTCCCGACCGTATGTGAGCAGAGGTCCACCTTCTGCAAGAGGGAACTTTGTGTGTCCGTGGTGTCTGGTTGTGTGTGTGTGTGTGTGTGTCTCACCTCGCAGACACCGGCAGGAGCATGGTGGTCAAAGGGGAAGAAGCGGCTCTGTTGTGCGCCGAGGTCGGTGCAGAGGCTGGCGCAGGCCCCCTCGTTGAATGGCTGTGCGGCTCCGTCGATGAGCGGGGCCTCCTCCTTCTGGGAGTCGTGTGTCGTCATGCGGGGCGTCTTGATGCACTTCCTCTCTGCAAGGGGCAGGTGCTGCAGGTCCGTGTCTCGCATCAGACACACGCAACACCTGCATCCACCGTCCATCCATCCATCCATCCACACGTCCCATTTGTCCCTCTCTCTCTCTCTGTCTCACTGTGGGAACGCATCCTCTCCCCTTTCAGCGAAGTCTGCAATGATGCTCTCGTATCTGTCCGTCCCGTAGAAGTCGTCCCACCGCACCACTCGCCCCCCGGCGTCCCTCTCGCCCAAATCCACCGGGTCAAGCGACACCAGCGGAGACACCATCACCGGAGCAGCCCTCCTCGCACCGCCTTCACTGACAGCGGCTTTATGCAGGGCGTGTTCTCCGGTCGGCTGAAGCCTTTTCTCACTGACAGGCGCAGCAGGTGGCAGAGGGGGTGTTTCTGCCGCCTTCGCCGCTGCGTCGGCTGCTGGTGCCTCCTTCTTTGCTGCAGGCTGCACCGGTGCGGCAGAAGGTTGTGTGGGTGGGGCTGGAGCCGCGGCAGCGGCAGGAGGGCCGCCCAATTCTCCCTCTTGTCCTAAAACAGCGGGGGCAGGGGTGATGGATGAAGAGGCCTCTTTAGGTGTCTCTGCTGGTGGGGCTGCAACAGCAGGAGGCAGCGGCTGGGGCTGGGGGGGACCAGCTGCTTCCTCCGCTTTTGCTGCCGGGGCCTCCTTAGAGGCTGGTGCGGGTGGCTGTGGTGGCTGCTGTGGCTGCGGCGCTTCAGCTGCAGCTGCAGCAGAAGGCTGTGCGGCTGCAGGTGGAGCAGAAGTCGGACCGCCCGAAGTCTTCTCGCCTTCAGGAGCAGCCTCGGGAGCGGCTGTGGTAGCCTCATTGGGAGCGGCCGGGGACTGAGCCGACGTCGACGCTGGCAGGGCTGCACCAGGCTGTGCAGGGACCGTTTCCCCTGGCTTCTTGTCTTGGCCGGGAGCAGCGGGGGGCTGTGGCGGCTTTCCGATGGGAATCCACTCTCCCTGATTTTGCTGAGGTCGAGGCGGCGGGGCGTTACTGGGGCCAGAGAGAACAGGGAGAGCGCTCACTATGTCATCTCGATGGGCCGAAAAGCCTGCAGGAGTGCGTCGAATTCGACACCAGTGGCATGGCAGAGAGAGACTATTGGAGAGAGAAGGGATCCCTGTGCGGTGTGGACACATACCTTGGCGCATTGGGCGTTGCTTCCTTTGCAGGCTCCCGCCCTCCGCCACTCCAAGGAAGAGCGTAACAGCCACGGCGGCTGCAAACACTGCTGCCATCGCTTTCGAGACTGAGTCTCTGGGGGCCTCAAAGTGAGACGGCGAGAGAATGGCCCGTCATTGCGACCTGGCCGAAAGCGACATGATTGGATGCTCGTTCCATTCTGCAGGCGGTTAGCTTACATCCCCACATAAGTACTTCAGAGTCCGTCACAGTTTCGCATTCACATGTGTTGATGCACCCACACACATCAAACCGCTGAGCCCCTCATCCCCCCTGACAGCGTCAGCCAGCCGACTCATCAGCTCGGGTGTGACCAACGGCGAGATGGGGGACTCGCTGAAGAGCGACAGGTGGGCCGCCACCAGACCTAAAATGGCGGCCAGCTGGACCGGTAGGCCCTGGATGAAGTGGCCATATGCGGTGAGGGCAAGGAGGGAGTCACCTGAACACAGAGAGGGTCTCAGACAGACAGATGGGCCCTGGGGGGGCAGCACCGAGCCAAGCCCACTAAGATGCCTCTTTGCCTGACCTGCTCCAGTGACATTGACGACGCCATTGTCAATGGCGTCGACACCGTAAGACCAAAACACCACACGGCCATCAGAGGACCCTGCCCCCCC